TCAGCGTCTGTCGTCTGTCGTCTGTCGTCTGTCGTCCTCCGTCGTCCTCCGTTGTCCGTCGTCCGTCGTTCATCGTTTGTCGTCGTCATCGTCATCATTATTGTCGTCGTCGCCGCCGCTGGCCTACGGGAGAAATCAATCGAAGAACAAAAAGCGACATACACAATTTCTCCCAGGTCTGTGTGGATTTTCTGGATCGGCGTTGGGCCCACCTGGCGGCGCCTCCGTCGGGGGTCCAACGCCGATCCAGGACATCCGCGCTGACCAAGAAATTCTTCGGTCGGGCCCTTTCACCAGGCCGCTCGGAAAGTGAGGCAAGCTCGAGGATGAACCCCTGGGGAGCTATTCGGGCGCACTCCTGTCGAGGATGGACGCCCTTCCATCGTGTATCCCCGAGTTGGGCCCAATTTTCGTGGCCCAGTCGAGAAGGCCACAAAGTCGGGCATTGGGGTCGCCACAGGCGAGCGAAGCCCGCTCGAGCACGAGCCAAGGCCGTGACAGAGCCCACCCGAACCCGGGCCCATCCGGCAGGTGTGCACCAGCTCCTCGAGCGGGGGGGGGGGGGGGGGGGGCATGTGGCCATGAAGCAGCACGGTCGTGAAGGAAATGGGCCCAACGCGTGTCCGTGGCCGTCTTCGGGCTCCCATTGGCCTTCCCTCTGCCCCATGGGGCGGGCAGAAAGCGGCTCAGGACGAAGGCCAGGTCCCGGGGGAGGACCCCCAGGCTCCAGGACCCGTTCGTGGTGAGCATGACGGGCGGGGCAGCCATTCGGAACTGCCTCGGGCCCTGGGAGGCCGTGCCGAGATAAGCCTGGCAGCCCCTCTGGCGGATCCCGTGGTCTGTCCGTGGTGCATCTGTGTGGAACGTCTGTAATCCGTGATGGTTGTGTATTCTTGTGAGGGCGATCCAGCAAACGGCTCATGCTCTGATCAAGCATTGAAAGTTCCGACGGTCTGCGTTCGATAACAGGCATGTGGATTGCCGTGTCTGCAATGGCGGTTGCAGTCAGATAGTGCAAGCAGAGGCGACGGAGCAAGCGGTGGTATTTGCGGCGCCAGGGTGATGCCGTGCTGCCTCGACCATATCCACGCCTACTACTACCATTCGTGGTTCCGAGGGGATGGGGCATGGGGACAGGTGACGATAAGAGTATCATCAATATATGGTTGGGTTTGGCGTCGCCCAGCTGTCGATGTTTCATAACATCAACGAATGTTCGTGGCCTATCTGGACAACAAAGCACCATGTGGGCGCAAGCGTATCTATTAATATCCGTAAGGGCTTCGCCCCCTGCCGCCGGCCCCCTCTCTCGGAGAATGGGCCATGGAAGAGCTAAGTCATGAGGCCTTGGCGCTGTCGTGAAGCAGTATCGAAACTTCATGCGAAGCCGATTCGCAATCAGCAAAACCAACTGATCACAAGAGGGGTTACCACACCTGGCGATTGGTAAGACGTGTATGGTTTACGGGCTTGGTTACCACACCTTGCGATTAAAGGGCCGAGGGAGTTCTCGCAGTTTGGGTTACCACGCCTTGCGATGGATGTGCGTGAAGGGTGGCACCGAATTTCAGAAATGTGCCAAATCACCTGTGTTTTTGGACCCTGACCCCGCGGATCTGCGTGAGGGGTGGCACCGAATTTCAGAAATGTGGCAAATCCCCTGTGTTTTTGGACCCTGACCCCGCGGATCTGCGTGAGGGGTGGCACCGAATGACAGGAATGTGGCAAATCTCATGTGTTTTTGGACCGTGACTCTGCGGATCTGCGTGAGGGGTGGCGTCGAATTATAGAAATGTGGCAAATCCCCTGTGTTTTTGGACTCTGACCCCGCGGATCTGCGTGAGGGGTGGCGTCGAATTATAGAAATGTGGCAAATCCCCTGTGTTTTTGGACCGTGACTCTGCGGATCTGTGTGATGGGTGGCACCGAATTTGAGAAATGTGGCAAATCACCTGTGTTTTTGGACCCTGACCCCGGGGATCTGCGTGAGGGGTGGCACCGAAATTCAGAAATGTGGCAAATCTCTTGTGTTTTTGGACCCTGACCCCGCGGATCTGCGTGAGGGGTGTCGATTTCGAGCCCCCCCAGCAATTCAGACAACGCGCCCAGGAGATGCTAAAAATCTTGTTTGGGCCTCCCCCCCCCTCGCGCGGTCAATCAACTAGTTACAGTAACCAGCAAGAAGCAGAACTGTAACACTGGAAACTACAAGCTACAACTGGTACAGGAAACTGCGAACCCGCGCCTACAGCCTGGTGGCCCCACAAGGGGGCCGGCGGATTTTCTCTGTTTCTGCGTTCAGGGGAGGCGCATAGTGTTATAGGGTCTAGGTACTGTGTCAGTTTATGGCATGCTTCCAGTGTAGTCAGTTGTTTGTTCAAGGCCGCAGCGGGTGATATAGCAAGAGCGTCACTGATTGATGATTTATGAGGGTCGGAGACACAGAGTGATTACAGCGATGAAGGCTAACAATCTGAAGTGTAGGTGCCGCGGGTCATCA